AGCCTTTGGGCAACACCAGACTCTGAGGGGCACTGTCTGCAAACTCCTGACCCAGATTGGCTCCCAGGCCTGTAGTGGGGAAGCGGAGAGGCTGCAGCTCTCTCCTATCCACAGCCTGCATGACAGGTGCTGCAGACCACAGCCGGGACAGAAGTAACCCTTGAGACCAAGAGAACCATCCATGATCCTAGAAGCGTGGGCTGGGCAGGTGGAGGGAGGGCAGTGTCTGTCCTGGCTAGCCATCCCCACTGGTCAGCTGGGGAGCAGCCCACCATGATTCTGATGCCTGCAGAGTGCGAGTGGTCCCCTCAGTGCCCCCAGGCCTGTAGGAGTCTAGGCCAGAGTGGGTGTGTCCAGCTACCACCTCTGCATCCCCCCAGGAACCAGACTCACAGGCTTGGCCTCCAGACAATGTGGGCAAAGTGAGGATCCCAGAGGGTGGCTGGAGCCAAGCCTCCTCCTTCACTTTCATCACTAGGTGATAAATGGCCCCATAGGTTCCCTGTTGTTTTCTAACATGGTCTTTGGAGTTTTGCCATTGCTGGGTAAATAGAGAAGCAGGATTTTCCAGTGGAAGCTGCTTGGACTGGCGCCTTTGCTGTGCCCATGGGTCTGGGTGAGCCCACATTTTTGGGAGCTCCTTTTAAATGGCTCTGGCGTGAGTCTTATCCCACTCACCATCCACATGATAAAAGTTAATATTCACAGAGCAGCTTTGATTTCTTCAAGAATGATTAACAACATGGTGACATTTGTTTCATATAATGAGTGAACCAGCTACTACTCCATCAGATGCTTCCCTCACCTCTGAAGCAGCCTGATTTTCCAGCTTAACCCTGACATAAGCAAGCTTCTGTGTGTTGTAGAGCTGTCCCCGGTACGCCTTAGGAAAGGGGGAAATAGATAGATTGTTAGCAACCAGTCATCACAGCAGCCTCCATGTCCTCTGGAACACCAGGAACACAGACCTCTCCGTGCCGCGTGATAAAAGAGGCCAAGATAGGAGGTCCTGCCTCAACTGAGGCACCAAAGGCACCCTCCTGGCCCCTGCCCTGGAGGGGGGAGGTGAGCCCTGGACAGCAGTGGGCAGTCCTAGCTTGCTCCAGGAAACAGTGAGAACAGGGACTAGAGCAGCAGATGCTGAGGGGTCGGGGGGAACAGCCAGGTGCTAGACAATTGTCAGTGGCCCTCCAAATGGATAGTATGTGGGGAGGGGGACAGTGGGCTGCCAGACTCCTGCATTCTAACCCATTCTGATGTGAAGACCCCTATTCCGCCAGGAGCAGCCTGGAAGCCAGTCTTCCTTGGTCTGCCCTGGCTCATTTGGGTATCTGATGGGTGATGTAGCAAGAGGTTCCAAAACCTGAGTCCTCCCTTTGCTCTGAGGTCCAGGCATGTCGGTCCGTCTTGAAAACAAATGCTTGAGGAGATAGTTTCCCCTGCTTATTCTATCTTGGAAAATGTTTCTCTTAAAAGGAGGACAGGGCTTCCCTGGTGGCGCAGTGGTTGAGAGTCCGCCTGCCGATGCAGGGGACACGGGTTCGT